TCTTAGCAAATGGCGACGCATATAGGAAGATCGATGATCAAAACCATAAACCATGATGTCACAAATCCCATATCGCGCTAAAGTTTGCACTCAGGCAGGCAGGCGTAAATAGAAAATCCTAATGTACCTACTACATATACTTTTGAGCAAATACAGTAAGTATCCTGCCAGTTTTCCCGGTATGAGGAGTCAAGATCATTTTAATTTCAGTTCCAGTAGTTCTATAACCACCACTATAGTTACGGCACATAGAAATCATCCATTACAATATCTGACAGCCTTCGGTTGTTCCGGAGAAAAGCTGGATAATGTGCATTTTTTTAATAAAATTATGTAGACGATACGTCAAAATGTAAATGATTAATTAGATCGCTCTAAGGCTACAAGTATTCAGATATTTTTGGCTTTTAATTCAAGGCTGATGAAAATCTAACATTCGTTTTTTTAGATAGAGAATAATGACACATATGAAGGTGGGTTCATATTAAAATTACTTTAGTATTTCGCATCCAGACCTCCATCATAAGTTATTGATATCGCCTATGTCCAGCAATAGGTAGTTTAAAACGGGCTGACGATGTAGTTTATAATATTTAACATACCTACTCAAAATAGACTTAACGCCATATATAATTGGTATCAAAACTGACTGTAACTAATAGTTTTTCATTGTAAACCTTTGAAGGTTTCATCGATTTAGTTAATTAATTTACGAAGTGGTGTGAGGGTTTTCTTTCATTGCGCAAGTCAGTAAGGAAGTTTTCTTCTGAAATAATTTACTTGTAGAGGTAAACATTCAAGTTGTATCCTTTTAAGATTACTTTTCAAGGAAAGATAGTTTCTAATATTATATTTATACTAACTCAGTTATTTGTTGCTTTATGGCAAGTGTGGCTACGGTTTTAAATACTGCGCGTTTAAACTTGCCGACGCATGCATCGATGCAATTGGTAGAAATTGCGCATGTCAACCGAGTATAGGTCCGAAGTATGTTATAAAAGGCAGCTCGCGACGCGGTGCTTCAGTGACGGGTTCAATCTCAACCCTAACTGTTGGAGTTGAGATTTAATCTGTTCACCAATAAATAGTACCTATAACTAGGCGACAAGAGACAGAAGCTTGGTATCTATTGCAATTTAGACATAATTTATTTTCAATTTATTTTCGGATAGTAATGCCCTCTGAAAATGATGAGTCCTATTTTTTTTAATTTTTATTCTGTATTTTATTTTTATAATTTATATTTCAAAACAATACTAGGTAAATACTTTGAAAAAGAATATCTACCTGAATAATGTAAATTTAAAATTATTCAATTATACATTATTAATTAAAAATAAGCAACCTTCGCGCCGCTACGCTTGCAGCATAAACAAGACAATATAACTTTGCTGCAATAATTTATTGTTTGAAACTTCTATTCTATATTAATTCAATATTGTAAAATTAACAATAAATAATAGCTCTCAGTGTCTACATTGTGTAATAATAATAAATAATAACATCCTGACTTTGATAGAACTCAGATATCTCCCGCAGTGCAGAGTACTTATATACTGCTGGAAAAGCGCCAAAACTGTGGTTTTTGTTATAGTCTTGTATTTAAAAGAAAAAAATATGATGGAGTATCTTTATATATATATGCCCTACAAGCTATAGTTTTCTCCTGTGTCGTGGGTGCGTTTACAAATATACAATTTGTCATACACATCACACCCAGACCCAGAAAAACCATTTCTGTATCCCACACAAAGAGTTGTTCCATGCGAAAATGGAACCCGCGACTTCTTCTACTCAAAAACTCTCTTTGCCTAAGTATGTACAAGTGCGATATCACAAGAGATGTTTGTTGTGACAATATTACTTTACCCAAACATATTGACGTAGGCATACCTTAGGGAAAAATTGTAAGGGAAAAGTCATCAAATGACTTCTTACGCCCAGGGTGAGGAGAGAGCAAGTGTCAGACTCTTATTGACTAAAACCCCCTGTTCCTACTCCTGGTCTAGATCGAGACTACGATGCTTCATTGCGCTTACCCCACAACCCCGGCTGAACATTAGCCCTTTAGGGCCCTTTCTGTGGTGGTCTATTGGCTCTTTGAGGCTCGCATGGAATAGTAGGTCTACATACGTTACGACTATTCTACTATACAAAAAACATACATATAAATGAAAAGCGTTTGTATGTGTGGACAACGTGACATTTTACACTCGCGTATCACTTTGCACTATCATGCTTCATCAGCGTGGCATCGCAAGAATATCGTGAGTTCGTCCATTCCAGTAATTGCTATACACTTGGAAACCGACACAAAGCACCGTTGTGTGGAGACAGTTTTCTAATTCAGGTACTAGGAGAACATAAACAGTAAGGTGGCTTTATTTTACCAATTATTTTTTGGGACTTGCTGTTCACTCTGACGTACTCTTATTACATTGCGTAACAGTATCATACATTTGTTATATTAATTAATAATGGCTTCATTGTTACAGTTTGTGTTTATGTGTACTGAATATTTGGACCTATAATATAAATGCCCTGCAATTGTAATAAAATCCTACTAATATTATAGATATGAAAGTTTGTGAGAATATATGGATGTATGTTTCTTATTCATTCACGCATTCAAAAACGTCTGAACTGATTTGGTTGAAGTTTGGTACGCTGTTTTTTATCAACAACAACATAGCACGCGGGCGAAGCTGCAAGCTGAAGTTAATAAACTATAAAAGTATGAATGGTTCGCTATTCACAGAAACCAATAATAATTCAGTAGTCCAAACTATTTGCTCATAGATGTAGTTTCGTCGGGCGCCAAAGTAGGCATCCAATATACAGAACAGATTTATCGATCTAGCTCTGTTTACAGCTTACCTAGATCTAAGAGTGTCGACGTCTAAACTATATTTAGAAGGCTATCAGAACATTCGGTTTTACTACACTTTAATAAAATATACCAAGGTACCTAGCTTCAGAGCATTTAAAGTTACTGGGTTTTATTTTGAAATGGTGTCATCTACATTCATTTTTGCTTTCAGTTAAGAACCATTAACTATGACGCTTTGTACTCATATACATATATGTATGACGTCACCTCAAGGTTTCTTCTTACAGAACCCAAAAAATAGCATAATAGATAACCCTTTTTGAAATTTTACAAAATAGACATGTCGAAATGTTATGACCTACTTGTAAATAACCATAAGATTTAGAGGAACGTGACCAAGGATTGTATTTTCGTTTACAAATACTTATACTTAGTTAAAAAAACCAAACGTTATACCTTTGTTTGTATATCTTTTTCAGCAGAGGCAGTAGGCCGAAATCGCAGAGCACATAGTCAATAATAAATACTTAACTTATATTATGTACGACTTTTCTTCTTCCTCTTTGATAAGTCCCTATAGCAGAACTCTGATGGGCCTGAAACAGCAACCTCCAATCTCTAACCTATTAGCCAATCGTCAATATAATGACTAACCGTCTTTTAGAGAACGCTCTCACCGATAGCCTGTGGACTGTCCTATCTAGCCGTTCATACGATTTGGAAGTAATCTACATTAACGCAATTAAAATTCGTTCACATTACGATACCGGAATGAGCCAGTAAGTGCTGCATAGGTACATTTCTAGGTAAATACATTGCAGTGACCTCCGCTGGTAGCCGTCATGGCCGCTCGAAGGTATCAGCAAAAATTGGCCGCTATTAAACTAGGTATGAAATTATTCAAAAAATGGGGAAATATATGAAATAGTTTCGTTAATAGCTAACTTATCTATTGACCTAGTTATTTGTTTCTGGTTTTATGTAATTAGTATGTAAATAGGTAGGTATATATTCATATCGTACACGATGTCCTCCTACACCCCCCATTATGTTTATACTTAAATCAGAATGAAGTCAAAGAATGTTATTTGAAATTGCTATTACGATTAAACTAATACATTAAATTAAGAAGATTTGAGGATCCATATCCTTCAAAGGAAAAATCTAGGTATCGGAGGCACATTTGTCTCAACAAATGTAAAGGAACTCTCATTTTTCTAGGAGTTTGAGGTTGGTGTTTGACGCTCGTTCCGTCTGAAGGTCTCAATGCGCCTTAATCATGATGATCATGTTAAAATCCGTTCCTTTTGGTATGAGAAGAGGTTGAAGACGTCTGTTGCCCAGCTAAACTTACTTTAAGAGTCAATTGTAAACCGATTTATTATTTACTCATAACCTTTAATAAAATTTACTTTTAGAATATTGACAATTAAATATTGTTTTTTTTATGTCTTTGCAATCATTTAATAATTTACTTTTCTAATAAAGTGATAGCTTTTTCAAAGTTACTTTCTTTCAGTAACAAATTGAGTAATTTCATCTCCTGATGAAACTGAGTAGTTCGACAACAAAAGCCACAATCTAAGGAACACGTTGCTCCGTGTATGTCAGACGATGCGAGTATAGCTGACGACGCGTGAGCACGACACTACACAATATAGGTACAGAAGGTTCATTCATACCATCCACAGCTTGTTTGATAAAGGGTTAGTAATTAGGAGAATTAGATAAGGTAGTATTAGTTTAATTTAATACTTTTGGTGATGTTCGAGTGATGATTTTGATTAGGTAACTGTGTCAAGCGAATTCAGTTTGCCTTCTTTTAAAATATCAGTGTTTCCAACGAAAATATTACCATTTTTAAATATCGATGAAGTGAATTCAATGTACCTTACTCACAGATTTTTTCAGACAAAATTATAACTAAGCCTACATTTTCATTCAAAGATACCACGTTAAAAAAGATAAACTAATGATATAAATAGTTACTTATTCATTTTCAAAGTAAACAATAAGTAGTAGTTTTCATTAATCTGACCTTCTGCTCATCTGCCCGTAGACTGGCTCCCAAAGACTAGGAGATAAGTATCCCGTCTCCATGATTGACATGTTGTTCCAAGATTACGAGCTGATAAACTCGAGAATACCTGATCTGTCATGAATGATAACGCATCGCTTAGATACTGTGCTATAGCAATGGACTGAACACGGTTTTTGTGTACTTTGTGCTCAATTTCATTTTTCATGTTTGATTTTTGAAGTTTTTTTGGGGTTTGGGTGTACGATGGCGAATTTACTGAAAAGGTACTGTTTTTTTTAATTCAATATTTTTATCATGAATGAATTTGTATAGCCTATCCGTGTATAATTATTGTTTTAAGTATACCTAAGTAGATGTTTAAAAATAAGAAGCTTAATGTTCAGTAGCATTATTATGCCACTTTTGCTTCCAGGCTTTGACTAGGTTATTACCTGGCTAGGTTCTCTATAGAACAAATACATCCGTCTAGAGTACAACAATAACAATTTTAGCTTTACAAATTACCCTAGGTAGGTAGGTACTATTTTTTCTTGTAAAATTATTTTTGTTAATTTGATTGAATGCTCGTATGCACGTACCTAAGCGGAAAACGAATCCAATTACGGATGCAGTTTGAATTGAAATAATTAAATCGAAGTGATTCAACATTTTATTGATTCGATAAACTGGTTTAACATTGCGTGAAATATTAGAATCGTGTGTGTTATGTATCTATGTTTAAAACTAGGTTTATTACAACTAGTTCTTGAGTGATCATGACAATGACAACTGTGGAAGGGGATGTACGTTACGAACCGGACAATTAGACTGGATATGGACAACCCTTATTGACTACCACACTGTTGTGTTGCTATACTAAAAAAATACCTTTAATTTTTATACTAAAGTAAGCTTACCTCTTAACAAGATAACACTATCTTTTATCAAATAAGGAACACAACTTTTGTCATTACCATAGCAAAGAAATATATTTAAAATGTTCGGCTGTGTGTCGGTCAAACAGTACGACATCGACGCGTGGGCAAGCTCACGGTATTAATAAATGCCACACACAAACAGACACTAATTATTTGCGAAATATACCTACCTACGATTTACCTTCACAGAGTAAGTTCTTTACTAGGTGGTCAAATTTATTATATTTAATTAATTAATTATATTACTTAATTATGAAAATTCGGTATAACATCACATACAATAGATCGTACATTTGCCACCGATAAAAATATAGATTACTGCGGTTCTGGCCCCGGATGAACTGTGGCCTGGCTCTGAGCAGGACAAGGAACTGACTTCCGTTTAGAGTAATAACACTTTTCCTAATTAACTTAATCATTCCATAAGTTAATAATACTTAGTCTTGATAAATTATACGTTTCTCGAAAGTGAAACTTGAAAGTGAAGGCATAAGATACTATTTAAATTGATTAATAAATCAAAGTAAATGAATTCATAAAACGTGGTAAATGCAAGGGCTGTAGTGTAAGTTTTATATCTACGTAGTTAGGTGATAAAAACTCATAATTTTGCTGAGAATAAAAAAAATAAGTTATTGTTTTTGTTTCTCTTGTTGTTTGCTTGCGTGGTTGCTTGGCTTTTGTTTTGTCATGAGTATCAGTGATGGTGACATCTTTTACGAGTATTTACAATACTTTTGGGTGCGAGGTCCTCCTGTCTTACACTAAGATCGGGTAAATTTTCTTGAAATAAGCCTCCTTTTTGGTGACATCCGGACCATTGCTGAATACCAACCTTCGTTAATAGTACCTAACTGTATTTTTTTATTGTATGGTATAAAATTTATTTTGGTCTAAGTTTTAGTTTAAGATCTTATTTGTCGCATTATGGAAAACCCTGTTAAGATAGAATAAGTTTTTGATAAATAAATAAATAAGTAATCTACATCAGTTTATATGCGCTCGCAGAACAATCGAAATAATACAGATAATTACAATCTTCCTTCGTGGCACACGCTTGTAGTGTGTAGTACCTATGACAGTGGCACAATTTACTTACCTAATGACACTTCCTATCGCTTGAGTATTAGTAGCAAACTTCTAACAATATTAAATGTCTAGAAATCATTTCATCAATAACAAAATGCAGTGACAAACTAGTTGATAGTGTCGCATTTCGTCTGACACCGTCGTATCAAATTGCTTGACCAGGTACACAGCGACTAACATATACTGATACTTCTCGATAGCGCATTGCATCAATTTATTCCAACCGTTTATGTAAAACTCTGAGTATAAAAACAATGCGCGATTTATATTGAAAAGAATAATGTGCTTTATTTATTTAACTTTCTTATGAAGACTTAGTAAGAATCTTTACTCAAATAAAAGTAAACAGTGCAATTACAAATACAGAAATATGTATAGCTTAGAATGTATACTAAGTATTGTTACTTCATCATTAAGTTGTTCTATATTTAACGCTTGCTTAAGACTCCACCAAATAGCGCATACTCGTTCGCCTACTTCGTAATGTATCAAGATAAACTGGCCGCCGTATACGCGGAGCTGCAAGGTGGTTGAGTGATATTTGGAACGTACGACAAACAGACAGACTCACATACAAGTACTGTTTATTCATTATAATTAATTTCCGATACTTTAATCCTGAGTTAATTGCGAACCAACCTTGATATCACTTTACTAGGAAATTGCTTCACTTGCCTGCCTGTTAAAATATTGCACAACTCGTCATCGTCATCGGATAGACTAAAAACAGAAATGATCGCTAGCTGCGAACGACACTTGTATTTATTAGCATTTAGTTAAGGTACAAAATAGGGTATATCCGTAGCGTTGTCCTAATCCTAACATCCATGTCTCCGAACTATGTAAGGCTCACTTGATTATAAGCATTCAAATATCAAAGTATATACAATTCCCCATCAAAGTCAAAATAATTATGTATTTCCAAATATGTTCTGTTGCCCACACGAACTGTGAAAGGATGACCGTTTTGCTCGAAATTGCTCAATTTACTGAAATAGTTCACTTTAAAACGTAATATTCGCATACAAATTGATGTATCTTGATGAGGAGCAGAAACTTACGCAATTATACGTTTGTTTTATATGAGTACGTATTGCTTTCACCGACTTACAACCTCGTTACAACATACTGACTTATATTATGTGCACGATCTGTTTACAATGCAATATTAAGTTCTAACGGCTCCTGGATTTATCTCACAATGGATCGTCGTCGCAATGGGTAGGTCACATTTGTCGAAGAACTGATGACCGTTGGGGTAGACGTGTTCAGGAGTGGGCCACGTCCAGGCCAATGTAGTGTAAACTGACCATATCAGCAGTGTGGCTGGCAGTGGTTGGATGAGAATAGCTGAATAGGTATAGAGCTCAGTGGCGTGCAATTGGAGGATTGTCCAGCAGTGGACGGAATCAGGCTGATGGTGATGATGAAGTTTGCAAAAGTTATATTGTTACAGGTTCTATAAATAAAATAAAATGTTTCACAAGATCTAATGAAAAAAAACATTGATTAGAATTGTGAAACAAAAACACTGCTTCGCTTAAAAATAGTTATTTATAATCAGAGATAAAATTAAATGTTTACATAAGAGAGCGACAAAGTGAACTAATACCGCGGCTCTTTAGCACAAAAGATCCAAAGAACGGTACAGTAGAGGTTACGTAAGTCCTAGTCGGTAGTAAAACAATTGGTATTATTTGGAAAGGGCATTTGTGTAAATTTCATTGACCCGTCGCCCGCGTCGCAGGCCGCGCCACTCGAGCCAGCCGCCGCCGCAACCCGACCACTGCTTTCCTTATTCATATTCAGAGCAATTCATGTGATTAACAGTTTCTTTGCTTTCTAACCATAATATTACGCTGTTATGGACATTAACAATGTTTTGTTTCGACGAAATTTTTATATTTGTCGTTTGCTATAGCGGTTATCTTGTGGTTTGTTTGTTATTTACTGTCACAATGAAAAGGCAACAACTGTTGTAAAATATATGAAAAATTGGATTTTTGTTATTTGCTTCACCGTTTGGATATTCACTTTTCCTAGTACCTACATGCAAGCTAGTACTTAGCCAAGTTAACGGAGCTGTGTATCCATCTACCTACACTATACATAAATATGAGAAATTACAATGCAATTACAATAGAAACCGAGCGATCTGTTGTTCCACTTATTGAGGCAGTGGTCCATGATGTCGCATAGCTGTGCCTAGTGGACCATGGCGAGCGTCTGTTCACATGTTACACTTATAATTGGTCACACTACACCACCACTCTATGTGTACAGGGCTTAGGATAGTATCATATGACTTACCTTACACACGGCTTCCTTAAAAATGAAGATGTATCTAGTCAGATAGACAAGAGAGAAGAAACTACAGGTTCGAACCTGGGTGTCTTCAAGGCCCGAGTCAATAAGTTGCTTATGGGTAGGCCTCCATTGTAAGTTGCATCATATCCCTTACCACCAGGCGAGAGAGAGAAAAATTAATCTAACTGAAAACATTTAAAGGCCTTAAAGTCCATACATAATAATAAAGTGAAATAATCCATATTGGTCTTTTAGGCGCTTTGTGTCTGCGATATTCGGTTCAAACTGTCGCTCAACGAACGACTTATCATTACTTTTAATACTTTGATGACTAAGAAAGTGGCCACTAAATATAGTCGTTTAAATTCCTTCGGTTCAATTGTTTCTAATCCAGGATAGGGCTTCTCGAAGCTTCGATTACTGAAAATCGATCCCTTTCGTAACAATTCAGTGTCTTAGAAGACGGATGTATTGTTGAAATTTCTTTTGGATAAGTATATATTAGTTACTCACTACTGAAATTTTAAGAGTAGAAATATAAATGCAATACTTCTGCTTAGTACCTAAAAGAAGAAGAAAGACTGAGGAGATTTAGTTAGATTTAGTTGCGTCAGTCAGTCAGTTCATCATCATCAGCCCAAAAGTGTCCACTGACTGTTGAGCATAGGCCTCTTCTCATACGGAGAAGGTTAGAGCATTAATCAACACGCCTGCTCAATGCGGGTTATCGATTTCAAACTTATAATTAGAAATTATAAGTCCAGGTTTCCTCACGATGTTTACCTTCACCGTATGTCAGTGGTGTCTAAATAATCATAGAAAGTACATATAACTCACACCCTCATCCATGACAAGCGGGCTCCTTAACCTCCGAGCTACCACGACGTCATTAGTCATAGTCAGTCAGTTACCTAGACCCAAAGCGAATAGAGCAAAATCTCCTGTCTGAT